TAATGCTTCTTGATGACGATTTTGTTTTTCATAAAATGAAACTAATTCTATTCGACGATGATGTTTTTTAAGTTCACTTTCAACTTCCGATGGTAAACAACAATTATCTTGATTACGTAGTAATGCATTTGCTAATGTATTATTATTCGTAATTAAATAAACTTTAAGTAATGCTGTTTCGACAATCATTAATAAATCACGAACAGGTTTTAATATAAGACGATTTTGAACAAGTGATTGAACTTCAAGATATAAATCTGGTGTACGTCGAAGAATTGTTTGAAAAACTCGACGTAAATCAGTTAGATAATGTTGTAATTCTCGTAGAGCATTTTCAAATTTGATTCCAACAAAATCAGCTGGTTCAGAAAAATGTCGATGTTGTTTAACAAATGTAGTTAATTCATTATACGTATTTTTTAACCATGTATTACTTGATAGCAGTGGAAATAGAGAAATAATTTCAGCTGGATCAGTTAAATATTCATTAAATTCAGCAAAAGCTTGTTCGAATTGTCGTTTATGGAATAATTGAAATGCATACATAGTACCAACACGATAATATTCATGCCAAAGTGCTGTTTCATCTAGATTTTGAGATGATTCATTCGTTGCATTATAACGAGATGATGATGATTGTTCATCATTTCCAAATGTTATCACTTTAGGCATTGTAGTTGTATCAAGATTTCCTTTTGCATGACCATCAGCTGTTCTTGTTTGATCATTTGATGATGAAACAGACGTTCCAAGTACAGCTCGAATAAGAATTAAAGCTAAATCATATCTATACATGCCAGTATAATTTGTTAATTGTACATGAACAGATATTGGTTCAACTACAAAAACATCTGTTGGTGTTGCTGCATAAATTCTATTTGTTTGTTCATCCATCCATAAATGACATTTTCCTGTTGCTGGATTCTTATGAGGAATATGTTGAACAGGTACTGATTGTGAACCATTAAATGTACAAACATCAATTGTTTGATTCATTAATGCTAAAACGTATGGGCTTGATTGAACAACAGTAGACGGAATATCTTTCCATACTATACCATTTTCATATAATGGTTCAAAATTTGAATTTAAAAATATAGTGTTTGCATCCATTTGTATACACCATTGTGATCGATCTTTAAGACAATTTATAACTGGTTCCTGTGTCATTGTAAATGTTAGTTCATTGATATTTGTACCAGTTGCAAGATTCATAATAACATATGATCTTTTATAACCAATACAAATTTTTTCACGTGATAATGCTAAAGCACGAGGTATATCTATTATATCGAAAGCACCACGTGCATCTTTAATTTCTTCTAAACGTCGTTGTTGAGGTAACCAGCGATAGAAAACAAGTGTACGACGTTTTGTTGCAACACATATTCGAAGTTCACTAGGGACTGATATCGAATTATTTGAAATGGATGATGTAGATGTCATAGTTGGGGTTGTAGGAGTCGATGGATTTGATGCAATCTCATACCAAGTTGAAAATAACGCAATATTTGAAGTTGATACAGTAGTAATTTCCGCAAGTGAATCTATATCATGTAAACTAACAACTCCATCCCCTAATAATAAAGCTAATTTGAATATTGGTATTGTTTCAAGTTGTACAACAATTTTTTTTGTTAATTTTATTACTTTTAGTGAACCTGCAGATACTGATAAAGATACTAATAACATGCGTTGTTTTTCTTGATTACTTCTTCCACATATTAATACAACATCGCCATTTGATGCAAATAATTCTCCAGTTAATCTAAAATCACGTATAACTGCACGCATTTGAAAAGCTTGAAAATCATCTTGAATATCTCCACCTGTAGTGTTTCCTAATGTTGAAATACTTGTCGTTGTTGGTGACCGAACTGTTTTTATGGGAGAAGACATGTCTTAGTAACTCGTTATAAGCAATCTTTCTCGACAAGGTGTGGAGCACAACATCTACTTTTTCTTTACACATGTCACTTTTCTTTCTATATCATAGATAAGATATATATAAAGACAAGTTGGATGTCGTGCTTCATACACAACCAAGACATATAATAATGGAGTTATCTGATATATCAAAACAATTGCTTGATGCAAAACGAGAAAAAAATATAACATTTACAGATATTGCACAACAACTTGGACGTGATGAAGTTTGGGTAGCAGCTTTATTTTATGGTCAAGCAACTTGTTCTGATGATGAAGAATGTCGAAAATTATCTGATACACTTAGTATTCATTTTTCACCAGAACAAATACATCAATTAAAACATTCATCATATAAAGGTTTACTTATTCCATCATTTCCACCAACTGATCCATTACTCTATCGATTTCATGAAATTCTTCTTCAATTTGGTGTACCAATGAAAGAAATTATTCATGAAAAATTCGGTGATGGAATTATGTCAGCTGTAGATTTTACAGTTAAAATTGACAAAGATGAAACAATTAAAGATGCTCCAAGAGTTAATATAAATATGTCAGGCAAATTTTTACCTTATAAACGATGGTGATTTTTTTTTATTGATTTTATAAAAAATTTTCATGGATATTTACCTTTTCAAGTAGTAATAAAAAGAGACATTACAAAAAAAATTTCCTTCTATCAAATACATGTTGTAATGATGAAATTGTGTGAACTGGTTGTAACACTAGTCTGTCAGAGCAATACCTTTTCATAAATTTAAAGTAACTCTGATTTTTATCTTTATATTACGTTTTCCTCCTGTTACAGTCATATCTTCATATACCTTCACACATTCTTTATTTCTTTTTCTTTCTCTTTTATGTTTTTGTTCTTCATTTTGAATAAGATACAACGTGAAGAGAGAGTCCTCTCATACCTCCATCGACAATGTTAGAAAATGATGTAGAAACTATATAACTGTTAATTTGATAAATATTTAAATATTTTTTCAGTTTATTCATTGTTTGAGATTATATACAAAAATCTATGGACAATTTTGAAAAAACGTTTTATTGATGAATAATCACAGTTTTCTTATGAAATTGTAATTCCAAACTCAGTAAAAATGTCTTTTTTTATTCAAATAAACATCTAAATGAAATATGGAATAGAAATTTGATTATAGATAAATACACTGAAGATTGAATTGTTTGATCTCAATGAATTCGTCAAGAATGAAAATAAATAGGAAAATTTCGTTCTATCAGTAATTTTACATTGATCTTTTATATATTTAAGTAACTATACTATATAAAATGAATTGAAATTTTTGACTTAATGTTCATATATTGTATTACATTTTATAGTAGTGAGATTATTGTCAATAATAGATAATAAAATTCAGTTTACTGTGAGTAGTTTTTATCGATGAATCAATATGTCAAAGATTTTGCAAATATTTATAAGAAATAATTAGAAAAAAAAGATGATGAAATATAAATAATACTACGAATAAGTTATAGAAAAACATAAAATCAATGGTTCATATTAATTGTCATAATCTATTCTAATATACATTCTTTTCATTCAACTATTATTTTCTTTCACTTCTCTATAATATACTATATATATATTTTGTTGCTGTACAATCAATGCTTTTTTATCATTATTTTTAGTCTCTGTAGGTTTAATCTTCTTTTTTCTTGTGTTCAAATATCATATTTCATGATATTAAATAATTATTAGTTGCATTATAGATATATTTAGAAAAACAAAATCTACTAGGATAAGAAAGTGTGTGTGAATAATTGCTTATTACAGCTTGTATTAATAGATTAAATCGTTATGATTATCATTGATCAGATCTAAATTACCGTGATGAAAACATTACTCTATCGTACAATATTGTTTTAACAAAATTAATAATAATATGATCATTCATATAAATTAAATAAATACTTTTATTGATCTTTTTCTATTTTTGTATATATCATAATTTAACTTCACATAGTCCTATATTAATTTATCTTTACTGAAAATAATCATATCATTTTTTTTTGTTTGAAAGTATGTTTGATTTGTTAGTTATTTTTTTGATTATTGCAAAAACGTTATTCTTAATTTATTTAGATTATGATATAAAAAACAAATCATAATATTTGATTTTACTATGAAGAATAAAATATTTGAAAACAAAAATAAGCGAAAAATGTTTATTAATTAGAATTGAATTAAATCAATTGATTGTCAACAATAAATCATAATATTAACAAAAAAATATACTGATTCAATGTGAATAATATATTGAAATATAATTTATATATATTATTTCTTTTACATTTAATGATAATTATAATTCTATTATTTATTTATAAATAAAAACTAATTTATTCACATCCACACCCGCAAGATATATTATCGTTATTTTTGATGATAAGACCAATGGATGCATAAAAGGGAATATATATGAATCATTTAATATAATAAAAAAAAAAGCAGTTTATTTTGTATGTTGCGTAGCAGTCTCATAACTAGGTAGTCCATCATGATCATGATCGGTAAACATCGATTGTTCAGCATTTGAAGAATCAGCAATGAACCAAGGATTCAATGTATGTTGATGACTTTTGTCAGAATCTACTTCTGTACCTACAACAATTGGTATATCAATATCAAAATTAGTAAACATTCCTTCAACTTTAACCACAAATTTAAGCATATAATTATTATTAACAAAAGCAACTTTAGAAATTCCTCCTTGAAATTGATATGATGGTGGTAATGTTATCGATGGGATTTGTACATCATATGTTTGTTTTATATGTTGATCTTTTGATTTCATAATATTTGGTAATGTTGTTTGAAATATATTATATCCACGAGAATTTTGTCCAATTCGATGTGATTGTAACATTGAAAGAACAATACTTTTAATAACAACTCGTTGTGGATTTTCAATATCGAATGTAACATGAATAGTTTCACCAGGAACATATGCTGATTTATTTAAAGTTCCTGTTAATGTTATATCTTTTCTATTATGATTTCCAAATGTAATGGTTTGTAAATATTGAGGATTGTGTAATAGATTAACTTTTGGAAATACTGTTATATATTTTGTTTCTCTTGTATTTGGTTTGTACCATGGTTTATCAATAACAACTTGTAAATAATATCGAACATGAGGATATGATTCAGGTTGATTAATTGTTGGTGGTAGATGATTGGTTAAGGGAATTTCAAATGGCCACAGATGTTTTCCTTGAGTATAAACTACTTGTTTTTGTCCAGCTTTAGGATGTGCAAAGATGGCTTTAGCAGAATAAAATGGAATATGATGATATTCAGTTTCATAGGTTATGCGATCAGTACTGTTTGTAATTGTTCCTGTCATTATTATATGACCATTCCTATCACGGACAACTCGTTTTTGTGTTGTATAACCGATTTCACCAGTCATTTGTATATAAATTTCATCTGCTTCAACTTTTCCTTCGGTGATATTTAAGGCGACTGTTCCCGAAACGACTTCATCAGTAAAATAAAATAGATTAGTTCGATCAAGGTTAATTGTAAGTGTGCTGCTGTTATTGTTACCCATGTTGTTTTTGTGTTACTCTAGAAACCAAACCTGAAGATGCAATAAGAAATTTTTCAATTTTATAATGAATGGTTATTTATTTCTCTTATATAGTAATACACTGTTTATGTTGCCCTACTTTGATAATAAATGTAGAATAAAAACAAAGTATACTAGCTCGTGAAGAGGAGAAAAATATATTTTTATGCATCAATACATATATGTGCACATGTGCTTCACATATTTTGTTTTATTATCTCTTCGTTATGAAAACGAAGGATGAGTCATCGAAGAAAATTACGAAAAAATATTTACATAAAAAATCTGAGTGTGAGTGTGAGTGTGAATGTGGGTGAATAAAAGACCAACACCCACACTCTCAAGATCGAAGATGTATATTTTAATAATATTGGAATAAATCGAATCGTATGAATTTCTTTATCTTTTAAATGAAACAAGGCTGTCATTTGTTAGTGTAAGATATTTATTTTTCGTCTATACCTACATCTTTCTTTTATTTCAAAATTAAGTCGGTACTATGACATTACTAACAACAATAGTATTTACTGTTCCATTTTCTTCTTCTCGCATTGGTATTTGATCTCTTCCAAACATCTTGTATACCATTTGTTTCAATTCACATCGAAAAGCCTTGGAAATAACAACAAAAACGATAAAACTTACAGAATAAGAAAGATTAAAAAATAAAGAAAGAAAGTTATTTAAGAACGTATCGATGTCTTGATGTAATTGTGTTCGTATTTGTTCTCTAGTAATAGCTGAATATGCGTAGAATATATTAATTCCAATACGAAAGATGATAGTGACAATAACAAGAGCAAATAAACAGCGAAGAAGTTGAAAATCTTTTTTTGTCATTGATCGAACTTGATTTCGTTGTTGACGTGGAACAATTCGTATATGACGAACATTTTTAAAAGATAATGAACATAGAATAATCATTATAGAAGAAAAAAGAATATTGATGATTGCCAAATAATAAAAAACAAAATTCTGATATGATTTTGAAAGATCATAATAACAAACAACAACAGAAGGACTTAACTCTTGAATATTAACCATAATCAACGTATGCATGTTGAAAATAAACCAGAAACATATATTTAAACTAATCGAAAAGTATGCTAAGCGTTTTGAACTATACAAACGTGTATCAACATTTTGAGATGAAATTAATAAACGATCAATAGATGCAAGAATGAGAATAGTAGGTGAAAGTATAGCAAAAAGAAATGCAACATAAAAATAACCTTTACAAACAACAACATTATAATTGTGTAGTTGGGTGTTATAACCAGTACTGAAAATCGATGCGAACAAAGTAGAATTAATATAAAATGCATTGCAAACAAGATAGATTTGAAGATAAAATACACAAACATTTTTTCTCCAAGTTCTTTTCGAAAATATAAATATACTTAATAAGGTTCCAATATTGCTTAAAACATAAAGAACAGGAACTATATATTTATATATGTCAAAGACAGCATTGTTGAGAATATTGATGTAATAGGAATTGTCGGACAAACTCATTTTTGTCAGATGTGATTAAGCAGAAAATGTAATGAACAGGTTTCTTTTCTGATGTTGACTTGTTGAGTTTTTCTAATAAATATGTAGAAAGTAACTCATTTAGATGAAGAAGTTTTATATAATTTAATGGTTCTCTATCGATGCAAAAAAAAATATAGAAGACTGGAAACTTTTTTAATTACTAACAGTAATTATATAGGATAATCTCATTACGCAGTACACTCAATATAACTCATAAAATTAGATAGTCGAAGTATGATCAAATGAGTCCTATACAAAAAAAAACTTTGAAGTACTTTGAAGTACCATTTTATTCAATGAGGAAAAAAGTATAAGATAGAAATAATTATCATCATTTTAATATATAATCTAGCTTTCTCTTTCTCTGAAAAATTCTGATAAAATAACATGTCTTCTTTCTAAGAAATTTACGTAGTATACCTTTTGTTGGCATATAATCTTTTCTATACACGAAGATGTGAATTAAAGTTAATAAAATACGTTATTCATCATTAGATGTTGTAATATCACTTGATTTGTCTTTCAACTTTCATTGTTGAATGTTTGACTTATGCATATTCGAATCAGTTTTATCTTTGTTAGTCAATAGACTATAAATGAAGAATTTCTCATGGGTTCGTATCGATAATGTCCAATACTAACCAATGACATTAAACTATATACTGCTGGGATAATTAACATATTGATCGATTGTAATTGTCCATTTCTACAAGATAATAATCATTTTCGAGTGGTTATAATAAATGCAATTGACAGAGGCAAATTAAATATAAAAGTTGACTCCATTTCTGTGACAATTCGTTTTACATACAGTTTTTTTGGTTCAAAATACGCTGCAGGATCATATATATTATGGCTATAGTGCGAAACATGAAACAAAATGTTTAAAAATAATATTAATGGTACTATTATTCTATGTAGTATAGTTTCTTTGAAGTGAGCGTGATATTTAAGATAATTTATTATTAGATTAATTAAAGTTACAATTCCAATTATAATACACATAATACCCAAGATAATGCGAATGAATGATAATTGTTTGAATGATTCCGAAATGAGTACTTCATCATTACGAAATGTACTTCGACGAAATATCGGACCAGAACGAAAAGTTATCTCCATATAGATCAAATCTAAAATAGTCAACTAGATTCAATCTACATCCTAGCACTACTTATATTTTTAATAAAATAAACAAATTTAACAAAAAAAATTTCATTACAAGAAATAAGTCAAATCTCACTGTCTATCATCGAGCACATTTTAACAATGAAAAGAAAAGATAAACGATAACAGATAAAAGACTTCTTTTTTTTAACTATCTAGAATGCATTAGTGTGAGTATCAAATGAGTTTTGACTACTGAGCTTCAATTTGAACTGCAACAGTCTGTAGCTTTAAGTATCTTCTCACATCATCTGATATCCTATTCTGAAGTATAATAATTGTGAAGTTAATACAAAGGATGGAAAAGATAAATCATTTTGAGGGTGGGTATGGATGTAATTGGTCGAAGAACAGACATCCATACCCACACCCACACCCTCAAGAGTAGTGAACCTATTTACGTTAATGGTGAATTTTATGAATTTTTTACTTCTGCAGCATATGATTTTACACTTGGAAAACAAGTATAGAATATGAAAAAATAATCTGTAATTTTCATATATATTTTTTTTTTCTAAGTCTGTTTAAGATTTGTTCATGCTCCTTCTTCAGAAAAGATCACAGTCAATTATATTCGTGGAGCTACATATGAAATCGATATAGCAACTAAACTATTTAAAGCACGTCTTAATGTCTATCAACTAATTGAAATGGATCCTACAGTTCTACTATATATAAGTTAATTTTTAAATAGTATATCTCATCAAATCTCAACGAACAGTCAACATTTATCAATACTTTAAACGAAACAATGTTTTCTAAAATTGATTCATTTATTATTATTATTGTTCATTATAATTTTCTACAATATTGTTTTAAAAATTTTCCATTACTCATTGCTTCAACAAGATAAACTGAATTCGAAAGACTTCACGTATTCAATTCTATATTCACAGAATTATTATTTGTTACGTGGCGTTCCTTTCTTGCTCTTCAGTTAGTTTTTCATATATTACAATAAAAACTATTAAAAAAACTTCATTATTATTTATTTACTTTTTATTTTTTCCTGCATCTATCATTTATTCTTTTCATTAATAAACATTCGTAAATCTATCTTCAACTCGCTAGTTAGCTAAAAGAGTTTTCGTCCGTCATTGTATACGAGCTAAAAATAATATGCCTGCGTCTTTATCCACTTGTATATACTCGAAAATCCCCTCTCGATGCGTCACTGTATATGAGTTAAAAATAATATGTCTACGTCTTTATCCATTTGTATATACTGAAAAATCCCCTCTCTTTGGGTTACTGCATACGAATTAAAAATAAACTACCGACGTCTTTATCCACTTGTATATACTCAAAAATCACCTCTCAATGCGTCATTGTATACGAGCTTAAAATAATTTTTATCGTTCTGTACAGCCAGATAAGATACTCTGTCTCTCTCCGACAACGAAAAAATTGTTTTTTTGTCGATTGCTCCTTGGTTGACGATTATCCTATATAAAGCCGAAGCAAAGCCTTATAATTTATACAAACATATCCATATCGTATTCTTCTTTACCTTCAAACAAAAACCAATCATAATGCACAACATCATTAAAATAGTTTGTTACACTATTATTTTAATGGCAGTATTTCATATGACGCTGACTGCAGCAAATGAACATTCTGCTGCAAAACATCTACTACATCATTTAATTAAGAAACGTATGGATCCTTCATTTTCAACGAGATTTTTTTCTGCGCACAGCATACATATCCTATATATATTAAACATTCTGGTATATGAATAGAATCGTAGTAAACACTCATTTATCATGTAATCTCTATCGATTTCACTAACTTCACACCTTCGCTTCACAGTGAACAGCATATTCGAACAGAATGTTTGTTTGAGCTGCTCGTATGACCTGCGTTTCTCGACCATGTAATGAACTCTAAATGAGTGCTTCGAACTGAACAAAATATGTGAACAGAATCTTGCTACGTATTATTCATTTGTTGTTTGTTTCTCCAGCATGTAATGAACTCTTAATGCTTTACTTCAAACTGAACAAAACATTTGGATAGAATCTTCCTGGTTGTTTCAGCTGCTCGCACGTTGTGTGTTTCCCCATCATTTCATGAATCCGGAATCTTTGCTTCGAACTCAATAGAATATTTGAACAGAATCTTGATATGAATTATTCATTTGTCGTTTGTTCCTTTGTCATGTAATGAATTGGAGATCTTTGCTTCGAACTAAGCAAAATGTTTGAATAGAATCTTTATATGAATTATTCATTTGTTGTATGTTCCTCCACCATGCAATGAATTGGAAATCTTTGCTTTGAACTGAGCAAAACATTTGAATAGAATCTTGATATGAATTATTCATTTGTTGTGTGTTCCTCCACCATGGGATGAACTTCAAATCTTTGCTTGGAACTCAACAAAACATCTGAACAGAACCTTTATATAAATTATTCATTTGTTTTCCGTTTCTCCATCATGTAATGAATTGCAAATCTTTGCTTCGAACTGAACAAAATATTTGAATAGAATTTTATTGTAAGTTATTTATTTATTATATGTTTTTCCACCATATAACCAACTGAACATCTTTGCTTGAAAGTGAACAAAATGTTTGAACAGAATCTTCCTATTAATTATCCAATTGTTGTACGTTCCTTCATCATGTAATGAGCTCAAAATCATTGTTTCGAACTCAACAAAATATTTGAATAGATTCTTGGTATGAATTATTCATTCCTTGTGTGTTTCTCTACCATGTAGTGAATTCATAATCTTTGCTTCTAAGTGCGCAAAAAGGCTGAATAGAATCTTACTATAAATTAGTCATTTGCTGTGTGCTTCTTCACCATGAAATGAATTCGTAGCCTTTGGTTCGAACTAAGCAAAATATTTGAATATAATCTTGGTATAAATTATTCATTTACTGCGTGTTTCCACACTATATAATGAATCCGAAATCTTTACTTCAAACTGAATAAAATATTTGAAAAGAACCTTTATATGAATTGTTCATTTGTTTTCTGTTTCTCCATCATGGATTGAACTCGAAATATTTGCTTCGAACTGAATAAAATATTTGAGTAGAATCTTGCTATGAGTCATTCATTTTTTGTATGTTTCTCCACGATGTAATGAATGCGTAGTCTTTCATTCAGACTGAAGAAAACATTTGAAATGAATGTTTGTTTGACTTGCTCGTATGTCCTGTGTTCCTCGACCATGTAATGAATTCTTAATGCTTGCTTTGAACTGAACAAAATATTTGAAAAGAATCTTGCTATGCATTATTCATTTCTCGTGCGTTCCTTCATTATGTAATGAACTCTAAAGCTTCGATTTGAACTAAACAAAATATTTGGAATGGATGTTTGTTTGAGCTGCTCATTTGTGATGAATTTGTTCATTATAGTTGTATGTCGGTATGGTATGATTCATTTAGTATGTCGAAATGTGCGGAGTAGTTTGAGTAAGTATGCTTTAAGGTGAAAAATAAGATAGCAGTAGAGCATTACACAGCGAGTAACTTGAGAGGGTGTGGATGCGGTCGCTACGACGGACCCACACTGCTTTCTCACTCACACCTACAACTGGATCTATAAATAATGAGGTTTTCTACCTGACTGAATGGCTTTCCCTCGCCAGCTGATGTGTTGTCGATAAAAGCGAAATTGATTGCTGTCATCTGTATTTTCTTCACAGAGTTTTTATCTCTATATATGTATGTAAGCTTTCTGACTCTCATTTTCACTAGAAACATCTAATAAGTCAGCAGTATTAGAAGAATGTATCATACCGTTATTCTGAAAATCATGGGCAGGAACATCGAATCAGATCATATTATACAAACCTTGGCTCGTCTCCATAGCGAGTCAAAATAATGTGCGGTGCTTCTACCCAGGTAGTGAAAATTAATAAGAGAACGCATAAAAACGTGTAAATATCAAACACAACTCCAGTTCGTTAAAATCACACATTTTAATGTTTTACGAACGGTTTGGTGGTTTCTATAGATTTTTTAGTAATTCTCAATTTTAACGCGTTATAACTTGTAACAGCATACAAAACTACGGTGTTATGTTTCTTATATGTTACGACACATTTTTACGATGTTAAATATTGTTGAGTGTTCGTAACACGTTAAAATGCGCGTTCTTTACAATTTTAGTATTGTTTAACGTTTTTAACGCGTTTTACACGTTTTTTTCCTAATATTCATGGAATTCTAGAGGAGCACATATAGTTGCATAAGTGAAGTTATTTGAGAGATAGCTGAGACTATTTTCAGTTATTTTAGTCTTAATCGGTTCCTATCTCTTTCTTCAATTTGTTAAATTTCGAGATAGAATGACTAGATACAAAATTTGGCTGATCTGACAATGGCATATCGATAGACTGAGACTGATATAGCTGGAAAATAGTCTCGAGGGCTCGGGTGTGGGTGTTATTCTTCTGCTTTCCATCACACCCACACCGACACTCACAAATAGAAATAACATCTTTTTCAGAGAGAGATTTCCTGTAACAATTATTCATTTACGTGATATTATATTCTCTTACCAAAACAGGGATACATCTGATATATTCATAAGCCAATATGATTCATTTGCTGAGGTATTTACATTTACAATTAAATGTCTTCTGATCCAGCGTTGTTCAATGCACAATTTTAAAATTCGTATGTCACTAGGAAGAGCTAAGCATCATATGAACTTGATGGTGACATAGCACGAATTTGCAAGAAGAAAAGGGTCTTTTTTCAAAAGAAGAAAGCAAACGCATTTAGATGCGTTGAAAGATAGAAAAAATATTACTCTCTACTGGACGCCCTTTATAGATGAGTTCAATCATTTCCTCGACATGAGAAGAATATTTGAATAGAGTCTTTAAAAATAAGCAGGTATGTTGTATCAAAATTCTGTCTGTAATAACTGATTGAGACACGTTCTGATATTTTGTCTCGTCATTTGTACATTCTTCTTTGAGATTATCATTTGCAACACTTCATGACATTGAACTAACTTGTTTTCTTTTTAGAATGCATGGCACCGACGCACATTACACCTACACTCGAACTTTTTAATCGACTATCATTATTATCAATATCAGACATTATCTATTACATAGTTTTTTCTTTTTTAATATTTCTCAATTAGTTTTCATTCTCTTCATATAACCAACTATTTCTCTTTTTTTTATATTCTTTAACATTTTACCTTTTTATTTTTTTATTTTTTTTTCATTTTTTCATGAATCTTTATTACAATAAAAATAAACGGTGATAATATAAACTATTTGTCTTATTTCGAATTATACCAAATATTTACAATAAACATGAGCAACGTCTCATTATGTATTTAAGCTTAAATATGCTGTGCTATCGTTCTGTTAGTCTTTCCTATCGCTTTCAGTCGCAGTCGCATATGTCTTCGTTTTCGGAGGACGTCTACTGCTGCGAGTTACTAATGAAAGCAATCAAGCATGGCTTAATGTATATATTTCTTACTATAGGTTACACGTGCTCAAACGAAACAGAAGAAAGAAAAAAGAAAAGATGCAAAAGCTATCGATATCAAATTTTTCGATCTGCTTACAAAAACTTTAAAATTATATTTTATTACTTTTTGATAACAATTTAATTAAAAATGTTTTTTATTTAGGTAGTCGAAAAAAAGCTATTTGTATTTGTTGGCTATTATTTTCTTTATTATGTTGTCAAATAAATCTTGCTGATAAATCGTTAATTTGAATATTATTACCAAAAAATTTTATTATTGATAATTACTTATTAATATTATATGAACAATTTAATCATATTCTACAAATGTACCCATCATTATTAATAGATAAACAATTAAATTCAACATTTACAATAAGATTACTTAATACAGGTGAAGATATATCAGAAGATCTATGTCGTATACTACATACATTTACAGTAATTCTTTTATTAATTAGTCGTTATGTTAGTAAATTAAATTTACTTGATTATTTTTATTCAGTATTTTTTGGAAAAAATTCTATCGTTTCGTTTTTTTAACACCATTTAAATGCATTAGAAAAATTTATATTAAAACTTGTTCGGCGATGGATGGAAAAGAATTAACTAACTAAGTTATAACACAGGCTCAAGTATAATTTATTGATGGAAAAATAATTACATCAATGGGAGTAATTTAAAAAAATATAACTAATAGAAAATTATAAAGCTTTTATTTTTTATGCTAATATATTAAAGATATAATAAAAATATTTTCAAATATGTATAAAAGTTAATAATGTCGAAAAATATCCAATATATTTGCACGAATAATAAATTCAGTTCGATTTCAACAAGAAATAAAATCAATATTTCATTTTCAAAGCTATCGATATGATTTAAATTTAAAGAATTTTATTTAAGCACATAAATACATTACAATACAAAAAAAACACATACTGTATGAAGAGTTATATATTACTATTGATTATCATTTTATATGATTTTATTGACTTATGTGAAGCTAATTAAAAAGAATAATAAGTATAAACATTATTTATAAATTAAACTTACTCAATTGAGTGCATTTAATAAGTGATTTATTTTATCAGGAAAATGTTCAAATGGATTGGAATATTTTTCACGCAATTGTTCGTAGCTGAGCTCAAAGGATTCTACATCATGTAATGTTTCCCATCCTAAATATAACGAAGAATAAATTCGAAAGTTGTCTGATCTTCATTGTAATTAACTTTTGTATTATTGCAAACGATACGAAAACTGTCACTAATAATAGTAATAAACATACTTATACAGATCAATACAATAAATAAGAAGAATAAACCAAAACAAATTGGATCAAGAATTGGTACAGCATTTGTTAATTTATATGCATGAAATTTCAGTGACATCATTTCAAAAAACATTCGTGCTGTATGTAATAATGTTGAACAACTCCAAATTTTCTTCACAAATAATAGATAAAAGAGTCTTAGAAAAGCCATAAATACAAAGAAAAATATAATAATAAATGAAAAGAAATCTTTTTTTTGCACATTGAAATGTTTCAGTAAATAATGATAAACGTTGATGAAATCGACATAAGCGAAGAAATTCAAAGTACCAAAAAAACAACAAAAACCAAGTAAATAAGTTAGAATATCATATATATATCCATTTGTTTCTTTAAAACAATTACCAACATCAATATAAGACCAAAAACGATTGAAATGTTAATGTGAAAACTAGAAGCAAAAGAAGATTAAGTTTATGCATAAGAATACAGTCTAACCTTGACAAACTAACGGGCCAAAACAGTATTGTAGAATTAAACTACTTGTTGATAAAATTCAACAAGAAAAGTAAATAATACAACATTTGGATTATATAAAGTTAATTGAAGAATTGGATAATATTGTGTTGTTTGATCTATCCATCCAGATTTATGAGAAAAATTTTTTCTTGATTAAATAAACTATAATCTTGGTTACATTTCAATACTAGTTGTGTTTGATATAAACTTGTTTTTATACATAATTATACCATTGTTGATCACGAATATTTGAAATGAAACTATTTTCTAATCAATTTCAATATTGATCAATTGTAGAAATCTAATCATTGAATATCATATTATATGAAAATGAATAATAAATAACTCTTACTTTCGTATAATCATTATCGATTTGGTTTGTATTTAAAAAAATTTTTCGGAAATGATTAACTTGAAATATAAGTAATAAGATATATCAATATTAGAAAATAGAAATAGAATTTCTTTCAGCTATTGATCATGAGCCCACGCTAATTCACCTTCATTCAAACGATCATTACAAATTTGTGAACGATAAGTAGATAGAGATTCTCTTGAATGTATATATTCTTCATTATCATTTAAATCAGAAATGATAAACTATAAGCAAAAAATAAACACCACCAACAAAACATCAATCGTGATCATTTGTTTCTATTTGATTTTATACTAAAGAAAACAAATAAATATGAAAAATGAAAAGATTTTAACGAACGGTTGTATTGATTGTTGTTTATATGATTGTCGAGTTCATATTCGTCGAAAGCATTTCAACAATTATTCTAATACTAATCTAATTCTATTAAGATAATTTTTATTTAATTAACGGTAAAAAAAAGAAATTACATCGTTGAACATGTATAAATGCTGAAAATCAAAGATGACCTTCTATTATACTATAATATGCTTGTTTTGATAGAACATAGAAAAATTCATGTTTTTGTATTGTATCCGCTATTGGTAAGATTCATTCAATCGGTATAGATATGAATATGAGTGTTGTAATCGCTTCTCGAATTATATCATCATCAACACCCACACCCACACCCACCCTCATTGTATTTTATTCTCATAATTTTATATCATGTTTATTTCAAAAAAGTAATTAAAGATCTAGAACATTTTAAAAGTGTGTGTTTTTTTCGTTCGTAGTCATTTGTTCAATTGTATACGATCGTTTATCAATCACTGTCGTCATCATTATTCGTAGATGAAGTTTTAGTCTTTTCAACTAAAACTTGCATTTGTTTTCTAAGAGTTCTCAGCACTAAAGTCTGTTGTTCGATTTGCTCGTTAGCATCGGAATCTGATTCATCATTTTTATTTGCCGAACCCAAGAAGAATTTCGACATCCAATGTATAAGTCGTTGAAAGTTGCTCTTGTCGTTCAAATCTTGAAAATTATAGTTCATTGTATCGTTTGATTTATTGCAACGGAAGAACGATGTTATCTGATAACGGAAAATCTCGAAATTGGCAACGAGCTCAAAAAATAATCTGTTACGTTCATCTGCAGCTTGTTTCATTAGTGGTGGAATATCGCCCACTGCCAATCCTACATAAAAGAAAATATGGCGTTAAACAATTATTCAATCAATCGTTAACACTATAACTTCAATGGCTTGTTGTTTTTCTCTACGGCTTTTAACTAATTACTCATTAAAAAAGAACATGAACTATGGAGCTGAGCAGGACAAAGTTTTGGCTATCTATCAGATTCTGATCTATACTTAATCATTGAGACGATAAATTATTGTCTCGTCACTTATACTTTAGTCTTTCTTACCAATAAGAAGATTTGTCACCAAAATACTCATTAATACAGCAAACATTATATAAATGAGATGACCCAACTTGTAATAGGCTACTGTACTACTATTGTACATCTGATCTTCATAAGTCATGTCTCCGGTTAACATGAGTGCTACAATAGAAATTCGATAAGACAAAAAAAAATAAATAAAGGTTCAAGAGAATTATTCGAACATACCTGTTTTAATGTAGGAAAAACCAACATTACTGAATACGGCGAAATTACCAAAGATCATATAAAATGTTAATGCGAATCCGCTTATCAAAATAATCAATACAATCAAAAACTTCATAAATTTCTTGCAGATAACCCAAAGCATAGAAACATAGATGCCTATCATAGGCATGAATTGTATATAATGGAGTAGACACAACCAACTAAGAAGTAGAGAGAGTGCACCATATTGCCATTGATATGGACAACGAAAAGTCAGATTCATTTGATAGTTTTGATCATAGACAAATGCGAAGCTCAATGCTACTGCAGCCATTTCCGTCCAATAGTTCCAAGTTTTTCTAAAACTAATCTGTATTATTTCAATGATTATTGCAATATTTTTTGCAATATGTAACCAGATAACAACGCACAGAACATATTTCAATATATAGTCAGCCGTTGTTTTTATGCCGCCTATACCTGGTAATCCTTGATTTAGTACTTGTGCAACATTATAGCACAATGAGTCATCGAAATTGGGAAAATTGGTTAGATTATAATATGTTGCTGGATCTTGTGTGCGCAGTATGATTGTTGTGAGTAAAGAGAGATAAGTAATATATAACAAGATAAAAATACCGAAGATGAAGACGCCAAAATTGTAAAATTTTTGCTTCACAAGATACATACTAAGTGGATGTGACATGAGATCAGGAATTTCGCAAGATTCCATCATGAACAATGGGTGATGTCTTACGAGATCGACCTTATTGGTAGTATATAATGCACTCATCAATTCTTCTGATTTTTTCTGAACGCCAAAGTTATCTTCCTCCCAATCATTGATAGTGTATTGATCTTCCAGAAATTCATAAACGAAAATTATTTTATGTACGTTTGTTCCACTATCACCAACCATGATTGAACATTTGTTGAGCATGAGCAAAGCCATTTTAGGCATCTCACGAATGAGTTTGCGCATTGGCGTATCGACTTCACATTGGATACCGAATAACTTGGAACGCCAACTGCTTTTTTTTTCGTGAGTCTGTGCGTTGCGCATTAAATCGAACCCACTTTCGTCATCAATGAAATATCGTACAACTTCTTCGTTGTTTTGCTCGATGGCCACTTCGAGACAGTTGTAACCTTGAACATTGGTTGCAAAAAGATCGGCGCCAAGTTTGCGCAAACGTTTGATCAATTTCTTCGAACCATACTCGGATGCAATATGCAAAGGTGTCTCTCGGCGAATATTTATAGCGTTGATATCGGCCTCGCCTTCATTCACGAGACTTTCAATGCATTCGGCTCGTTCCTTGTTATCATTCTGATGAATACTAGATCGTGCTGCATCATGCAATGGTGTGCAGTCATTTATGTCACACGCATTAACATTAGCTTGATGTTGAATAAGTTCCTTGATAATATCAACATGACCTTTTTCTGCAGCCATATGCAAACTTGTGCGCTTCTGATCGTCGCATGCATTGATCACTGATGGATCAGAATACTCGAGTATTTCGTGAATAACATTCAGATTTTCGTTATAAATAGCTACATGAAGTGGTGTGTGTTTGTCCTTATTCTTTTTGTTCAGAATTTTGTAAACGTGTTTATTTGTGGACATTTGCTTATTAGTAGTGGTCGTTTTGCTAGCTGATGGTTTCGATGGCACTTGACCATTAGTATCTAGATTAGTCATACTTCGATATTGTGTTGTGTTTGAAATAGTCTCCACGGGAGAAGAGATGTTTTTGATATAATCTAGCAATATTTGACTCATGTGCGCATTGCCAACTTTAGCACAAATATGAAGAGGTGTGTCACCCGATATATCGGCAGCGAGTACCAGTAAAATGGACAAATAACGAGATTGACATAGTTCCGTTGTTATTTCTTTTTTATTGACTTCTGCACAAATATGAAATACAGTGCGTAAAGTAACGGAACTAACTAATTCAATTGCTTCCTTCGTACAAGCTTTATCACTAAGTAATTCTTGCACACATTTAATTTGCTTATGTTGAACAGCAACCATTAACGGGCTACAGCCAGTTTGTCTATCTTGATACATTATACTTGCTCTATTTATAAGGTGAGAAACCATTTTATGTCCATGTAATTGACGACAAGCCAAATGTAGTGTATTGAGATGATGACGTACATGGTCCTGTTGTCTTTTCAAAAAGGATAGAGCTGTATTTTCCTGATGGCAAACAGCGGCGTTGATTAGTTCTGCTGTACCTTTCGTAGCATCGGGCTGTTTGATTTGTTGAGTTTCAAAAAGATGTTGGAGAATATCGAGATTGCCATATTCGGCTGCGGTATCAATAGGTCTCTTGTTATTTCCTGTTTTACATTCGAATAATTCCGGTTCATCTAAGAACAATCCAATTGTATCAGTATTCTGATGAAAACGACAAGCGTAATGGAGAGGAGTGGCCTTTTGAATATCACCAACCTAAGCAAAATAATTTACTATAAGCCGTTGAAAGTATAAAATAGAGAAAGGCTTCTTCGAAGAATAACTTACGTCACGTTTAACGCCAGCCGATATAAGATATTGTGTATTATGATAACAGTTGTACATGATAGCAAGATGTAATGGTGTTCGTCCTTCACTGTCTTGAATATTTATGTTGATCTTCTTTTGACTTAACAGGTACAGTAAAATAGAAGAGTCCGCCTAGAAAAAAGATTTCATCGTGCATGTTTTTAGCTATAAAAATGAATTTAATAATATGTTTTACTAACAGTTTGATCTGGCTTATTGATATCGGTTAAGCGAGCAGCAATATGCAACGGAGTTTCGCCGTCCCAACCAACCAAATTGACGTCTTAAGAACAAAATTGATGCAAAGTATTTAAACAAAGAGAGGTAAAGTAACTTACAGCAACCATAATCTTCGATGATAATTTTACAGAAGGGAACGTTGTTGAAAGTAGTTGCATAGTGTAGTATCGCATACAGATCTGCTTCGTTGAGTTTCTCCAACATTTTCGTCATTTGTGATTTGTTATAGCCATGATGTTGTCCTATTTTTTCCAGACGTTTTTTTATACGTTCTGAGTCATAACCACGAGATGCTTCTAGCTTCTCGACGATATCTTCGAGTTCTTCACTATTGTAATTATGATGTACTATCGATTTGTTCACGCTTTTAATGTATTCTTCTCTGTTATACTTCTTTTTCTCGGTAAGTTTCCGGAAATGTTCTATTCCATGAGAACAGATGTTGGTTGGGATTGGAGAACATGCAATCTAAACATTAGTAATTGATTCTTTAATTATCCCAAGCATCTAGAGGGTGGGTGTGAATGTGGGAGTATTTTTCTTTTTTGGTCTAACCTGACTTAGATAGAGTGGTTCATAATGTTTTTACCTCTTTCAGTTCCACAGTGATATTGTGATGGGCCGTTTTACCCATATCTTCCTCGTCGTTGTACTGCATTTGAGACATATCAATATTGATTTCTGTAGGTATTAAATTTGATACCATTTTGTTCAGTCCGATTCGGATAGCGAGAATTATTATGAATACGACAAACAAAGTAAAACAGAATGATCGTAAAATTTTCAGTTTCAAAAAAAAAACTTGATTATGGAAGCCTAATAGAGAACAGAATAAAAAAAACTTGCTTTTGCAATTATTTTCTTATTTGTACAGGCATATTGTTGATGCAAGATTGCAAGTTGGCAACATTCGGAGAAAAGAAAAAAGGACTGTACTCTGTTTACAAGTAAAGGAGTGGCTATAGTAACGAAAAACACGTCATACCACATACAAAGCATCGTGAGGGTTGGTTTTCATTGTCAGCAATGATATTTCGCACAATCACTCTCTATTCAAAAGTAAACGTGCATGGATGGACTCATTCCTCGTCTACGTGCACACTTTTTATGGTCTCATACGCTGAGGATGTGAGTGTGGGTGTTGGTGTGGATGTGAGAAGAGTGTAGAACCTACAGTCACACCCACACCCATTTTGAAAATTTCACGTTTTTTTAGCAAATAATTCTATAAACAATAGAAATGTTACAAGAAAATAAACCTAAGTTTGCTTTTTTAAAGAAAAATTTCAGATTAATGTGATATTCTAAGACTAGCGTCGGCATATAGAATTTTTCAGAAATGTAGAGTAATTTGATGAATCATCATTTTTGAATATAAAACTCAGAACTAGATAATTACAAAGATCGAATTTAAAACGTAACGCTATCTGTTAAACTCGCTGCGATATTGTATATTTATTTTATTTTGCTTTTAAATAAATCTATCGAAACGTTTCGTGTTACGCTCAGATCATCATCTGTACACGAGAAAATCGATAAAAACGGAAGATGTTGATAACGGATGATAAATAATATACTATAAAAATTTTAAAATACAGAGTATTGAACATAATTTTTACCAATTCTTATGTAACCATTTTCTGGATTTTTATCACTTGAATATTTCTTGTTATTGACATTTAACAATATGCTAAGATATACTCAAATTCGACAAAAAAATAGAGATATATGATTGAAATTATAAAAGTTCTCAAATCAAAGATTATATTGACAGAATTCTAACCATTCTTTGTATCTTTATATTTACATGTAAAATTTATTAAAGGAAGATAAGAATGTAGCTATGCCTATACAGCTCTGATATGAAATAAATGTTAGATTCATTTTGAAAGATAAAATAATATATTTAATGGAGAAGAGAAACAAATATTTTAACTGAAAAAGTAAATAGAAAAGTGAGTTAGTTCTTTTAACAATGAAATAAAATCTACCTGAAAAATGAAACAATATGATATTATGTCTTTCTACCTGTGCAAAATATCTACTTAAAATAACATTAATAAATAGGTTAAACGATGAATAAGATGAATAAGTCAGAATCTAAAGCAGAGCAATATGACGTTAATATGTATCCAGCGGACAAATCTGATATGTTTGCTTACATATACATTTTTTCATTAAAGATAATAATATTTATCTTGTACGTGCCTTCTGAGTGATATATATATATATATATATATATGAAATAATTTCAAATAATAAGTCATTTTTCGTTAAATTCAACTTGCTTGTGAAATACAAGATGCTTAACAAACATCTATACAGTGAGTATAATGAACCATGTTAGAGGTGTAAAGTTGAAGATACATTAGTTTGAGCAGTCATCCTATTCCACAATGTTCAATATCATGGAATATAATGTGTTTCCACTAGTCTAAATGTATGCTTGTAGACTACTGTTTAGCAACCTGCGAATCCTTTCAGACACGGATTTTATCTGTATATAGCTTGGAATTTTAACAGAATCGTATTACGAAAGACAAGCAGAAATTTTGAGAGTAAACGATAAATAACTAAAATCTTTACTGTTATTTTCTTACGCACACAAAATAGTATTGAATGTAGTTTTGTTCGATTTCGTATTGGAAAAAGAACTATAGACTCACAGATTCTTATTGACGATAGATGGATCATAGAATGAAATCATCCAATTCGAATATCTTCAGTTATATTATTAAATTCTCATCGTCAGTGACTTTCGATTATCAGTATCTGTATTATTTTTACTATCTTATAGTTATTTTCTCTCTGGTATTAACATTCGCCATTGCTGCACCAAGAAAACAACAAATCATGACAATGAACACCGACACAACTATGTCCAATACTTATCTATCAGGTAAGTCTTAGATTAATGTTTTTAAAATTCACGAAAGATTACTTTTAACTTAAATACCTGCAGTTACTTTATATTTAATAATGCTTGAGAGTGTGAGTGTAACTTGATCAAAATCATTTAAACTGAAAAACGAACGAATGTTGTATTAGATTACTCGTAAGCTTCGGAGCATCTGAACTGGTTTCCAATGATTCTCATGAGTTACATGACTGAAGTTGGTTTTAGAAAAAATGTAAATCATCTTTTATTCTTCTAATTTTATAGAAATATATAATTCAAACAATCAGATTGTTTAAAATCTTATATTTTCAGCTGTTGTATAAAATCTTTATATAATTAAAATGGATGTGTTCATTTCTCACTACATTATTGTCATCGAAAGAGTTTCCTTAGAGTATTTATCACTAACAGAAATTGCATATACTTCAAAATGCATTCATTTTTGATAAATAACGTGACAACCTATAGAAGAAATATAAATCGTACTGATGTGTTATTCACTCGTTCCAGTCGTTTTTAAATATGTCATATCTACTATCATATCAGTTTTTTTATTCTATAAAATCTAAACATATTCGTACATAATTAGATCATCTTGAAAATTTGTTCATAAGAATTCTTTTTTCAGAGTGAATATACTCAAATATTTTTATTTAGGCTGGACTAAGACTGGAAAGATGCATTATGGACGAGCTATGCACACAGCATCTATACTAGCAGATGGAAAAGTATTAGTCGCCGGTATAGGCAGTGTACATACTGAGCTGTATAATCTATCAACAGGCACTTGGACAGTCAGTGGTAGAACAGATTACACGCGATATCAACATGCAGTATCTGTATTAACAAATGGAAAAGTGTTAA